CCCCGTCCCTACAAAAAATACAAAAATTAGCTGGGCATGGTGGCGCGTGCCTGTAATCCCAGCTACTCAGGAGACTGAAGCAGGAGAATTGCCTGAACCCAGGAGGCGGATGTTGCGGTGAGCCGAGATAGCGCCATTGCACTCCAGCCTGGGTAACAAGAGCGAAACTTTGTCTCAAAAAAAAGAAAAGAACTACAGCAAAGGGGCTTCTAATCCTGCAATTTAGCTCCAAAAAGCATCCAAAAAATCTCCCAGTGCTCAATACTTGGTTACAAAGAGGCTTTTCTGCACTCTTGCTTAAGAGTACACACACTGAAAAAATCACTTAAAATTGAGGGTTTAAAAAATAGAGCTTAATTGTGTGTTTTGAAAGCAACACATGTCATTACCCTCTGGTTCTGCGTTTACAACTTTCTGACATCTTGAGTTGATATGCCACAGGCAAAAACAACTATTGAGCCCTACAAAGGACAGAGCCAAATTCACAGTTGGGAAAGAATCCCTTTCAGAACCTGGTTCTCCAAAGAACCTTCTGCAAGGCAGTTGTACACAACAGAAGCGCGTCACTGAAGGGTGCAGAGACTCTGCCTACCCTGCCTGGTGGACCTCAGATACCATAATCCCGCCTGGCGGTCAGACCTGCAGGGTGGGCAGGATACTGTGGAGTTTTGAAAGCCACCTCAGCCACCTGCATGCCCTCTGAAGTCTATTCCCCATCTATCCCAGGCCAATTAGATGCAAGCTCAGCTCTCTCAGCAGCACTGCTGAAGGCCAAGAACAAGGTCACAGCCTCCCCACATGCTTCATTAATAAATAACAAATGCCCAGCAACGGGGGATGTATGATGTGTTGAGAACGCGCTGAGTGCCTTACAAATGTATAATGTGTTGAGAACGCGCTGAGTGCCTTACAAGCTTTTTCTCATTTCACTCTAGCAGCCCTGGGATGGGTGTGCTGATACTCCCATGGATAACGAAACAGGTGCAGTCAGGTCCCCTTCCCCAGGTCAGAAGATGCCTGATAACATCTGTGCTGATATCTTGGACCTGTGGTTGCAGACATTGCCTGGGCCCAGCCACCATGCTGTGAGAAGCCCCAGGAGGTGCTTTGGGCCACAATTCTGGCTGAAGCCAGCCTGAAAGTTGTCCCAAACCAGGCCCCAGACTTAGGAGTGAGAAACAGGCAGATGGCTCCAACCTCAGACACTGGGGAGCAGAGGCAGCTGTTATATAAAATGTGTTGGAGGCCACTGATTTGGACGGAGCTGCACCAGGCCCAATAGATAACACAGAAATGGAGTCACTCTTGTTAAAGTGCCGTGTCACCAAATGGAAACTAACTTGTTTATCTGGCCTTCTGGGAAATAGGGAGACTGAGAGGTAGCTAAGTCTCCAAGAAGCTGGCATGTTAAGGGAGCTCCTTCCGCTTTTACTGTTACAGCGAAAGTAGCTTTGAAATGACCATCCTACTTTTTGTTCTCCATGTCTGCATTCTTCAGCCCTTTCTCTTGATAAAACCGTCCTCCTCCGCTCAGCTCATCAAATGCTCGTTCTGTTTTATGGAATGTCACAAATAAAGTCAATTCAGATCTTTAAACTAAATTTGTCATAATTTTGTCCTTTGAAACAAGTCATCCCCATCAGGCCCTGTCCAAAGTCCCAACGCACAGACTCATCGGGGAACAAAATGGTTGTTATCTTGTGCCCTCGTGTTCCGGGGGGGGCTTCATCTGGGGTCGTCTTACAGAAGTGTGTCTGATTCCGACCCTCCATTTGTGTTTACGTCTTCCAGATGACAAGAAGATGTCACGTAGACAGGAGACGGAGTTTCATGTTCATTTTGGCTTGGAAGCTCCTGGAGCAATCAGTCAGTGTGAATCAGAACCCGGGCCCCACACGACGGCAGGCTATGCTTACAGCTTATTGTGTCTCAGTTTGTCTGGTCTGCTGTAACAAAATACCTCAGATGGGGTCATTTATCAATAATGTAAATTTGTTTCTCACAGTTCCGGAGACTGGGCAGTCCAAGATCAAGGCACCAGCAGATCTGGTGGTTTGATGTATATCAGCAGTAACCCCAAGTTTATTAACTTCAGAACTAGCCATACAGTTACAGGTGGTGTCTTGCAGTTATTTTTCAAAGAAATTGAAAGGAACTTTGGACCCCCCCCAGCCCCCATACTGTATATCACACTTTGCTGGTTTAACTAACACGAGTCATTTACTGGGTAAGTGTTTTCTTTAATATTGAGTCAGCAGCAAGCACCCTTGAACCTAGTGGGGAAAAAAACACCAACCCCTTTGGTTTGCAGAGTCGTGCCCTTGAAGGGGACTAGAGCAGCTGGCCCAAGGGCAAAGGTGGAAAGTGACCTGCTCTGGACTCGTGAGGCCAAGGTCATGGGGAACAGCCACAGTTGACTTCAAGAATACCAGTGGTTCTCAACTCGTGGCCCACGGACCAGCAACATCACCATTACCTGAGAATTTTTGAGAAACACAAATTCTGGGGCCCATCCTGGACATCTGAGAACCAGACAGAATTCCGTTACTCAGTGCCCCCGTTTTATAGATGAGGAAACATGCACAGTGCAGTAAAGGGAAAGCGAGTCGTGACTCTAAAGACACCTGGAGACACGAAACTGTGTTGTGCCATCCACAGCCCGTTGTCTGCTGGCTGTTTAACAAGGCCACGGCCAGGACACTAACCCCAGTTCTGTTTTAGAAATGCCATCATCTGTCCTGGTTTGAGGCGTACAGGCCAGTGGTTCTCAAGACTGAGTGTCCTCTGGAGCGAGTGCCTGGAAGCCGGTGGTTCCCAAGCCCGGATGTCTCTGGAGCACTGGAGGGCTTGTTAAACACAGGTTTCAGGTCCCACTCCAGGGTTTCTGATTCCAGAGGTCCTGGATAGGCGGGCCCCAGAATTTGTGTTTCTCAAAAGTTCTCAGGTAATGCTGATGCCGCTGGTCTGAGGACCATGTGGTGAGAAACACTGGTATTTTTGAAGGGGTGAAGAAAACTTCAAGAGTGACATTCCTTTGGAAAAGCCATCTGACTTCATCACACACAGCAGACAGATCAGGCCAAAGCGTTCCCACCCACCCCACAACTTTCGAGGGGCTCCCAGGGGAGTTGTGGCCTGACCTGGCCCTTTTTCATACTGTCCCCTCTGTGGTTTGCAGACACCAGCAAAGGAAAGAGATATCGCTGACCCATGAACAGGTGGGCACGCACATCCCGGGGAGACAGCTGCTGAAAAGCTGTTTTTCAAGTTTTCTGAAGCTCGATTTCTGGCGAAGGTAGACATAAATGCCACATTATCAGAAGAAATAAGGGAAGGAAAGGAGCAGAAGAATGCTTGCTGACCACACCCTGATCCTGACCCAGCAGGTTCAGAAGGTCCTTGCTGTTGGCCCCGGGAGGTCTGCCCCACTGTCTTATCTGAGTGAGCCTGCAACTGTGCACAGGCCAACTGTGGCTGCTCCCCATGACCTTGGCCTCACGAGTCCAGAGCAGGTCACTTTCCACCTGTGCCCTTGGGCCAGCTGCTCGAGTCCCTTCCAGGGCACGCCGCACAACTCATGTTGTTGTTGTTGTTGTTGTTGTTGTTCCCACTAGTTCAAGGGCACTTGCTGCTGACTCAAGATTAAAGAAAACACTTATCTAGTAAGTGACTCATTTTAATTTAACCAGCAAAGAAAGTGATATACAGTATGGGGGAGGGGGGTTCAAAGTTCCTTTCAATTTCTTTGAAAAATAACTGCAAGACGCCGCCTGTAACTGTCTGGCTAGTTCTGAAGTTAATCCCTTGCAGCCCTCGGCCCAGCCTCTGAGCATCACTGCCCTGGTGCTCACAATGCGGAGAGGAGGCCTGGGGAGCAGAGCAACACAGACAACTGAAGGAGGGGTTGGAGAGCCGCCGCCACCTGGACAACGCGGCCCTGAGTGGGAGGCGACCCTGCCGTAAAGACCCTCAGGTCCTTCCTTAAACACTCCCAAATCCAGCAAACTGGTTATTCCCACCCTTCAGGCCTTTGAACAAATGTGGCTGCCAGCCCCTCCCCGCAGGCCCCACACCCAGGCTTGCCCTGCACTTGGCACCCACCCTGCATAGCCAGCCCTGCCTGCAGTTCCGGGCCTTCCCCTGGCTGCTCAGTCCGCGCCTTCGGTGGGAGAAAAGGTGCAGTGTCCTCCCAGCCCCAAACCTTAGCAGAGCAGTAGTGGCCTCTGCTCAGCAAGTTCCAGACAACCGACCACCAGCGGCTGCTGGGGCCGGTTTCCCGGGACCGCAGGCCCCATGGGTCCAACGCTAGCCCTGGGTCGCCGGGGTGAAGTTCTCTGAGGCCAAGAACGAGAACCGGGAGGCCGCTGTTACTTCCTCCCCGCCCGCAGGCCCCAGGCCCGCAGCGAGGACGTAACTGGTTCCAGCTGCCACGCCGGGTTTCCTCCTCCCCGGGTCGCCCGCCACAGCTCTGTTTGTTTACGTGGGCAGGGCCTGTCCCCAGACAGATCCCGGACACCGCAGCCCGCAGTGACAACCGCCGCGGCTTAGTTTTTCCCTCCACCCGGTGCAGGAACAGGAAAGTCCGGACTCGAGGCGCTGGAGCGTAGCCCGCGCTGTGCGCCCAGTAACGCAACTCTGGAGACGCGCGAGGAGCCGCCCGGGCAAGGCCAGCAGCCCGGGAGTCCCGTGCGGACAGCGGGTTCCCGCGGGCGCCGGCCTGAGCTGGGCACGTGGATCGAGGCCCGACGGGGTGACGTGGAGCCACGGCTTAGAGCGGGCAGGGCGGGCGGAATACCGGAGGAGGGGCCCCTACAAGGCTGCGATGGGATGAGGGACCGGGTGACGTGGAGCCAGGCTTAGAGCGGGCGGAATACCGGAGGAGGGGCCCCTGAAGGGCTTCGATCCACGGCGCCCGGGGACGGCTGCGGCTGGCGAGAGGCTCCGAGCCCCCTCGGGACGCAAGAGTTGGGGGCGTCCTGGGTCCCCCGAAGCCCACTCACCAGACACATTCAACTGGCCTCCCAGGAACCAGCCGATCTTGCCACTGCTGAAGTCGCAGTCCCAGACGGTGTGGTAGGGGGTGTCCCACACGAGCGTGTCCCGCGCCAGCGGCCCCCAGAAGGCGGCCGGCTCCTGAGCTGCCAGCACGCTCAGCGCCTGGTACGAGCCCGGCTGCGCTGCGGCGGCGGCGGCGGCGGGGGCGCTGCCCGGGGGTCCAGAGGCCGCCCTGCGAGGCGCGCTCACCCCGCACGGCGGCCGCACTGGCTGCCCCAAGCGCCCTCGCAGGCTACCCAGCAGCCGACCGACGCCACGGCCCAAGCTATGCACCGCCATCCAGCCCGACTTCCGAGTTCTCTGTGCGCCCAGAGTGGGTGCCTCAAGCCTGGGGCGCCCCTTGGAGTCTCCGCCGGCCCCGCCCCTGCTCCGCCCTTCGGCCACCACCCACTCCTCCCAGGCCCCTTCCCTGAGCCAGCCCCGGTCCCACCCCTTCTTCTCCGGCCCAGGAGAAGGGGGGCCGCTAAGGAGGAGGGGAGCCGCGTGGGGAAAGGGTGCAGTGGAGCGCGGGGCGGATCGGGGGCCCAGGCCCTGGCCCAGCCGCTGCGCTCCCACCCGGACGCTCCTCGCGTCGGCCTGTTTTGGTTTCAGTTTGCGCGCTCTCCTGCAAGCCCCGACAGCTTCGCGGAGCTGCCAGAGGCACTAGCGGCCCAGGACGCAGGCTCCGGGCGCAGGTGCAGAGGGGCGCGGGGACCCTCTGGGAGCGGAAGGAGCCGGGAGGGAGCGGGCACCGACGGAAAGGGGCTGGTGCAGCCGAGGGCACTGGTGGATCCCAAGACAATGGGTCGGTCTGTTCCGCATCTCAGAGGCTGAAGCCAAGGTTTTCATGCCTTTGTGCGCCCCTGAGAATGAACCCCTCCCCTGGCCTCTCAGCGGCACAAGAAGGGGGCTGGCGGGAAGCCCAGAAGCCAGGAGGATGCCAGGGCCTGAGTCGGTGGTCCGGGGTCCCATGGGCTGGTGATAAGCTGCGACGAGGCCTTTCTCCAGTTGCTCCAGCATCTATGGCCTGAGTTCAAACTCTGGCATTTCTACCTCTGTGACCTTGAGCAAGTTCCCTAACTTCTCGGTGCCTCATTTTCCTTTTGGGGACAACGGAAGTAACGCCTCCCTGGGGTGCGGGGACGGCAGTGGGGGGCGGGGGGAGCTGCAGTAAGGAACACATCAGACAGTGTCTGCCAAAAGTCCGCCCTTGCGTGGCCCCAGAGCAAGCTCAGTAGTGGGGTGATGTTTTTGCAGCTGTGGAGCCGGGAAGGACTGAAGGAAATGCGCCAGTTCTTAAATATGTCGACACCCAAGAAGTAAACACATAACAAAGGGGTAAACACAGGGAGAGAGAGGTTTTGGAAAACTGGTTGGTTGAGCTCTTTGTGATGGGAGAGGTTCTTTCCCTTGAGCTGCAGGGCTTGCAGCGAGGAGGAGCCTGCGGTCCGAGGAGCCTCCGCGTGGGCCAGCCACCAGCCCCTGCCAGCGGAATGCTGCTTGTCTGCCAGGGAAGACAGGAGTGTACCCTGTCTCCAGGAAGGCTGGAGAATCGGCGACATCTACCAGCATAACACATGCCCTACACAGTGCTAGCACTTGACCTGCATTTTCTCCTCTATTTACGATACTTTTTTAGAGATAGGACTTACTGAAGAGCATGCGGTTGGCTCAGGGAAGAGCAAGACTGGCACCCAGTGTCCCGGCGGGGAGCTCACTGGCCTAAGTTCCCATTTTGATAGATTAAAGTCACCCAGCACAGGGCACTGAGAGGCACAGGCCAATAAAATTGCAAATTGAGAAAGCTCCTAATTGTGGCAGGGAGTCCCAAAGACGGCCACCAGGTCTTCCCACACCTGCACGTGCTGTTCTGTCCAGAGGAGGACCCTGGCCAGCCGTATTGCTTTGGCCAGTACAGCCTGGTGGGAGGGATGCTCTGACAGCTTCATGTCGAGGCCTGGAGAGTCCCTGCAGCCCCAGCTTGTCCTCTCATAGAACCTGGCTGCAAGCTGTGAGGAAGCGGGGCTGGTCTTCCAGAGGAAAGGACCCAGGGAGAGGACGAAGCCACCCCACGCACAGCCAGGACCGACTCCAGAGGAAGGTACCCAGAAGAGAACGAAGCCACCCCACACACCCCAGGATCAACTCCAGAGGAAGGGACCCAGGAAAGGACGAAGCCGCCCCACGCACAGTCAGGACCAACTCCCAGACAGGAATGAGACCACCGTGGAGGCTCCCACCTCAGCCAAGGCAGCCTCATGAGTGACCCCAGATAACTCCTGGATGCAAAGGAACCTCCCAGTGCACTCACAGAATTGTGAGAAGGAAAACATCATTGTTTTAAGCGACTAAGTTATGAATGGTTTGTAACTCGGCAGTAGGTAACTGGTACAACTGAGGCTGGAAAACGCATGGTTCCTTCACTCACTGCCCTCTACCTCTCAGTGCCCTGCACTGGGTGCCCTTCCTCTCTCTACCCTCCAACTGTTGAAGTTCCCAGGAGCTCAGCCCTCAAGTCTGTCTTTCTCCCGTGCCCACTAGGAAACGGCAGCTGGCTCCAGTCTCTGACTTTCCATTGGCACCTCCTCCCGACCTTTCCTCCTATCTCAGTCCTGTGATCAAACATGTCATTCACATCTGAAATATACCAAGTCCTGGGATTCTTCCTCCAACGTGGATCTTCCGTGTCAGTGAGTGGAAATGGCGTTTTCCTGTTGTTTGGGTTTATAACCTCGTCATCCTAGATTCCTCACGCGCACACTCCACGTGCAGCCTGTCAGCAAATCCTGTGGCTCATTTTCAGAACACTGCAGCACTGACCTCCTCCTCCATCACCATCCCCTCCCGCCACCATCCCAACCACACTCATCTCTTAGGCTCCAAATTGCTTTCACCCTTTTCCCTGACAGCCTAACCAGCAGCCAGTGCAATTCCTTTAAAACAGAAGTCAGAGGAACTTGATCTGCAACCTAGAACAGTCCAAAGGCTCCTGACTCCTCAACGCAAAGGCGGCATCCTTCCCTGGCCCACAGGCCGCAGCCTCACTACTCAACCTGTGGTCCATGGGCCAGGAGCGTCACTTGGCGACTTTGTAGAAATGCAGAATTCCAGGCTCCATCTCAGACCTGCTGCCTCAGAATCTGCATCTTAAGCCCGGGGTGAGCTGGGTGCACATCCAAGTTAGAGCAGCGCTGCCCTCCCTGATCCAGCGGCCCCTCTTCCTCTACTCTCCCTCACTCACTGGGGCTCCAGCACATGGGCCTGCTTCTGTCCTTCCCACCACAAGATGTGCTCCCACCTCGTGACCACCACATGCTGTCCCTTCTGGCTGGAATGCTCCTCTCAGAGGTCCACAGAGACTCCCCCTCGCCTCCCTCAGGTGTCTTCAAACATCCCGTCACCCAAGAGGCCTTTCCTGTCACCTACATAAAGTCATACCTTCACCCTCATTCCCTAGTCCCAACCCCTGACTTAATCTTTCCCATGTCTCTTACTTATTAGCTCTGTGTCTGTTTTCCCTGTCAGGGGAAGGAGGGAGCTCTGTGACAGGAGGGACAGCAGCTACGCTGCTTGTGACAGCTTTAGGGATGGAGCCCCCAAAACTGCCTTCGCCACTTGCCTTCAGAGCTCCTGCCACACCCCTGACTCCACAGCTGCAGTGCTCAGATGCTTGAGAAGCAGTCTCGGCTGATAACGGATCCCCACCATTCTCTGTGCACTCAGTGGTCTCCAAAGAGCTTGTAAAGTCCTCCCTTCTGCTTCTTTCCCCATCACTCCCTCCTCCTCTTCTCTTTATTTGTCTCTGTGACCCCCCCCCCCCCACACACACTTCTTTTCACTAATACTTGTGACAGGCTGGGCCTGGCACGGCAGCCACCCTGCAGAGAGTGCACGGTGATGGCTCCTTCCTCCCTCTGCCTTCATTTCTAAGATCTTCTGCTATTGCAGTGAAAAAGTTCATAGAAGTGACTCCATTTTGAAATAAATCCTACCCAGTCCCTTCTGGTTAGATCAGAAGAAGTGATCCTTTCAGAACCAATTCGGTGGTGCAGAGCTTCACTTCCTGCTGCTGCAGTTGCCTGGAGGGACGTAAGTCTCTGAGATCGCAGGGACACCTTGGGGTCACTCCGGGGGCGAAGCTCTGAGAACTTTGAGCTGTGGCCACCATCTTGCCTCGTGTGTGGATCAAAAGTGGCTTCCTCCTTCGTGGAGTCCCCGAGTGTACAGACAGCACTGGACAGGGAGCCAGGAGAGAGGCCTGGAACCCCTCCTGGCTTCTGCCCTCAGTTCTGCCTCCAACTTGCCATGTGGCAAGTCCCCTGACGTCTCAGTTTTCTCATCTGGAAAATGAACCAATGTGATCCAAAGTCTGAATCCTTGAGCTCTAAAATTCCAAGAGGTGTATGAGTCCCAGTAAGGACACGCCAAACTGAGTAGCCAGCGGTTCTTCTTTCCCACAATGACAGCCTCTGCCAGTGTGGGGCCCTCCACAGATTTATCCAAGGATCACTGGGCTCTCTGGAGATCTCCTGCCCTCCTTCCTTCGGTTCAGTGCCTTCTTTTGCTCACAACTTTCCCACCCCCATCAAGGGGAGCTGTCACTCTGGGCAAGGGACAGCCTCTGTCTCTCATGCTACTTTAGAGCTGGAGCAGAGACAGAGCCACCCAAGCTCATGTCTGGGGGATATAGTCAGGAGCACCCTTTGTGGTTTTCCTTTCACGTTAGCTTAGCTAGAATTAACTTTATCCTAGTCTTTTTTTTTTTTTGAGATGGAGTTTCTCCCTTGTTTCCCAGGCTGGAGTGCAATGGCACGATCTCGGCTCACTGCAACCTCCGCCTCCTGGGTTCAGGCAATTCTCCTGCCTCAGCCTCCTGAGTAGCTGGGATTACAGGCACGTGCCACCATGCCCAGCTAATTTTTTTTTTATATTTTTGTAGAGACGGGGTTTCACCATGTTGACCAGGATGGTCTTGATCTCTTGAACTCATGATCCACCCGCCTCAGCCTCCCAAAGTGCTGGGATTACAGGCTTGAGCCACCATATCCTAGTCTTAAGTGCAAGCAGGCATTGACATTTTGGTAGATTTCCAGTCCAGTAGCTTCTGAGCTCTGGCTGGGAAGGTTTGGATTTTGACTTCCATAAAACTAAAAATTGAGAGGTGAAGTTAGGAAAGGTACCCTCAGCTAGAACTCTATGTTTGCTTTGGTTTGAATTTGAGTGACAACTAGAGTGTGGAGCTCAGAGGGGGGTGGGGGGACAAAAAGGATGGCGTGCCCAAGTTCAGCAAGAGCGACAGGGAAGCCAGGGAACAGCCTTTGAGTACATGAGCTGCCGGCCCCTTTGCTCTGTCCTGAGAAGACAAAAGCCACCGAAACTGCCATCGCGTGTCTGCCTGTGGCCTCAGGAACCTCTTGGGCTTCCCAGCCTCTCAGCTCAAACTCAAGTGTGAGGGTTTATGATCCAGGTACGACTTTGAGCAGAGACCCCAGGCAGCCACAGGCAGGAGAGGAATTGGTCTGCAAAGGTGCTGATCGCCAGGGCTGGACATGGCTTTCTCCGGGACCA